AATACCCCCCTCTCGCAAATCACTGGGGACCCCGAACCCCAACGCACCATTGGGTCCGAGCTGCGTCCAGCCGTGGCTACGGGGGCCATCGACAGTTGCCTCACCTCGCCCTCCTCGGAGATCACTCGCCCTCGAAGACGGCCGGAACTGGGACGGAAGAACGTCCTCAAAGAACATGAGACCCTCCGCTGGCCAAAACGACGGAACAGACAAGACAACCCTCCCCCAAAGATGCACGGGAACATCCAACACGCGCAAAGAATGTTAGGGCACCCTCCCCGAACCGGCCTCGATCGTATATCTCGGGTCGGGCGAAAGGGGGGGATAGCAAAGGGGGGGTTTGAGAATCAGCTCACGTAGCTGATTTTCCAGGCGCCTCCCGGCGCCGGAGGCGGCTATGTATCGAGGAATGGGCCCCTCGGTGGGGCCGAAACCAGCTGTATGCAGCAAATTTCGTAACCCCCCCTTTCCCAATCCCCCCCTTTCGCCCGGCCCGAATATGGGCGCCCTCGACCCCGTGGGGTCGACCTCGGATGCCTCCAGACCCTTTCGCGCCGAGAAGAACACAGGACGGAGGGCTCTGGGCCGCTTGCGGCCTCTGGGGGGGGGCCCTCGCTGGGCCCCGAGGGATGTCCGAAGAACGGTTCGGGATAAGAACGCGGCCCCCGAGACATCCGGGGTCCCCGTAATGAGGAGAGCACGATGACGTCGGGGGTCGGGGTGCACCGTGCCCCCGTTCTCGACTGCCTCCGCGGGCCACGACCCATCGCCCGGCCCCTCTTCGCTTGCCGCCAACACTGGGCGTGCATGCCGAGAAGAAGCGATCGGGCGCTCTCAAGTCCCGCCGCTGGCACTGGAAAAAGACTACTCCAGATGTCGTAACAAAAGGGAGGGGGTCTGGACCCTCCAAGACAAGCCATTTCAGACCCTCCCCCGTGGGAGAACCCCTCCAAAACGTCGTCCCCAGACCCCCCCCAGGCCCTCCAAGATAGCCTGGAAGAGACCCCCCCCCGAAATGAGACCCCCCCTCCCTTTATTACGAAATCCGGAGTACGGATCAGGCCTGAGGTATCAGGGCCCCGGGCCTCGGGTGCTTTCCCCAAGGCCAGCCTCTCATCCCAAGCTGCTCCTTCCTGCCACCGGGGGGCCCCGGGAGGCCCCCCCTTCCAGAGGCCGAAAGCGAAGAACAGTTGGGAACCCCCAAACCGGGTGGTGAGATACCAGGTGGCGACCTGGAATCCCCCAAAAGGTCACCGCTGGGTTTGGGGACGCGGGGTCACCACCGGGTTTTGTGGCTCCTGGACCCACCAGTGTCCGGGACATCCTCGGAAAACCGCACGAACCCCCAAACCAGGTGATGACACCAAATCGCCCGAGACTCACCGCAAGGTGTTGTCACCACCACATTTGGGGACTACCAAAACAACAACCTGGGACCCGCTTCGCCTGGGACTCCTCTGCTTCATGGCGGCACCCGCGCCGAGGATCCTCTGAGCGTGTGTCAGCGCCCACGTGTGTTTTTGTCCACCTGGCGCAGGCGGTGCGAGGAGGGTCGACACAGCCTGCGCGGTCTCCGGAGGCAGGACCAACGACATGAGCGTAACCTTTCGGAGGTCCACGCGGATTTCTCGGATCTGCGCTGGGTCCCCCTCCCTGGCGCGCGGAGCGCGCCAAGGGCAGCGCAGGAGGCGCCGCCAGGGAGCCGAAGCCCAGATGGATCCGAGGATCCCGCGCGCACGTCCGACCAAGTACGTTTGAACACTGAGCCCTTCGTCGAAAAACAGGCGGCGCGCTACCGTCGGAGCTCAACAGGGTTTCCTGAGATCCGACGTTGCAGAACAACTCTAGCTGAAGGGGCCCCAGGACACACAAATAAATACACACAAATGAAAAGATTCCCCATAGTTTCGCATATTTTCTGGGTTTCTGTCTTCCCCCCTACTTCCCATATTTTCCCATATTTTCCTGGGAGATCGAGTATTAATTGTGTCTGTGTGTTTTTCCTCTCCTGACCAGCGTCGTGAAACGACAGATCCACCCGAACCAATCCACCGACCATGCTGCGGCACTCTTATAAGCCACATCGATGCGCCATGGCCCCCTCGGGGCCCGAAACAGGGAGACCTCGCCCGCTGTGCAGGGCCCGTGACGCCAGGATCTCAGGGCAGGCTGCAGGCTACCTCTCGGCGGCGCGCACACGTGGGCAAGGGGAGGGGGGAAGGCTTCTTAGGAGGGGCCCCAGGACACACACACACACACACACAGAAACACACACAAATACACGCGAATAAAAATATTTCCCATTATATGTGTATATATATATTGGGTTTGTTTGGTCTTCCCCCCAACTTTCCATATTTTCCCATATTTGCTGGGGAGTCGACGATTAATTGTGTCTGTGTGTTTGTTTCCCTCCTGATTCCTTAGGAGGAGGCTGCTTCTGGGAAGGCGCCGGCCTTGCATTTCGTAGACAAGGCCCGCGCCTCCAAACAAGCAGGGGCGCTTCTGGGAAGCCTGGCCCCCCCTCTCCCCCTCTTGTGCGCGCGGCCGACTGCCTGCGAATCTGATCTGGGCAAACGCACATCGGACAAGGAGCCTGTTGTTTCTTCTATTCGCGATAACGGGCGTGAGCGGGGGAGGGGGGGGAGTCCGTCTCCCCCGATCGCATCACGGCGGGGTGCCGCCGGAAATCTCAGGAACCCCTCGAAGAATCCCTCGGACATCTTTGTGCGAATGTAAGCAGAATGGCGGGACGTGATCCCAGGGAGGGGAGGGAGGGCCGATCTCGGCCGTTATCACCCAGACTCTAAACAAACAAGTCTAACACACGTCCTGAGGATGCGCGGGGCTGGAGGCCTCCCAGGTGGGCTCGGAATAGATGGGGTTGGAGGATCGCGCCGCATCGGGAATGCACCAGCGACGCATCGTCGACGTCGGCGATGCATCGGCGACGTCGACGTGCAGCAAATCGGGCTCCACATCGAGCCGCACCGCCGATACATCGGCGACGCGGCGCCATCCTCCGACCCCATCTTCTCCGGCCCCATCTGGGAGGCCTGGACTGACACACGTCCTGAGGATGCGCGGGGCTCAGTTCGGTGGCAACTCACTGGAGCCTCCCATACCATCCTGTCGGCCCTTCCGAATCGACCCTGGTCGACACTAAATCGAAGCAATTCGACGCCAGCCGACGCTAAATCGGCGCTATCTCGTCGACGCCCAGACGCTAATCGACGCTAAAAACGGAAAGAGGAGATTAGAGGAACAAAAACCGTCATAAACATAAACGTTTGGCGGTCCGCGCGGACTTCGTGGATTTGACCTGGAGCCCCCTCCCTGGCGCGCGGAGCGCGCCAGGGGCGGCGCCGCTGGCGCCATGGGGGGGGGTTCAGCGCGGATCCAAGACATCCGCGCAGAGCGCCAAACATTCATCTTTATCGCGTTTTGCCTTCCCCGAGGTGTACCATCATGATCAAATCTTCCACCACCACCGCCACCACGGAGGATGAGGAGGTCCTCCTCCTCCTCCTCCCCTTCCTCCTCCTCCTCCTCTTACTCTTCATCCTCTTCCTCCTCCTCTTCCTCGTCCTCCCCCCATCTCCAACTTATGGTAGTGGTGGTGGGATCGGGGATGGACAGACCCCTCTAGTAAAACCTGGTTTAATGAAAAACGACTTCTGGCCCACAGCTGGCGGGCGCAAACCCAGAAAATTACGGCCGCGGCGCCCTCTCGAGAACCGAGACCGGACAATGCACGAATCGACGTGTCAGGGTGGAGGTTCTGTTCACCACCGACTACCAGACCACACCAACCCAACCCGAAGACCAGAATTTTACCCGAATTTCGGGTTGGGGGTGGTACGGGCTCCATGATTCTTTTCAATGTTCCCCGACCCCCCCCCAACTGGAAATGGAGGGCAAATTGAGGCCGTCGGGTTGGATTGGGGTGGTTTGGTAGGTGGTGAATCACACCAAGCTCCCATGATTCGATCGTCGCTGCATCGGCGATGCGTCGCGGTCCTCCGACCCGATCTACTCCGACCCCATCTGGGTGGCCCGGACTGCCCCTCTGCTACTTCTAGTAGTGGTGGTGATGGAAGATGGGCCCATCATGTCAGGCCTCCGTGGTCTGCCAACGAAGCCGAGGGAGGCAAAACTCAGGTCGGGCATGTCCTCCTGCAGGCGGTCCTTGGCCGAGAAATGAAGAATAGTCAGAAGATGCCGGAAAAAACAGAAATCGAAGCATCGCCCCCAGATGACGAGTCTTGACCATTCCCCCTGTAGAGTTAGGTCGGGCCTGTCCCCCTACAGGGAGATTCGGGGCGCAAAATTAAAAACAGTCAAACCATACTCAAAAAACATTTAAAAATACTTACGACATCGCCCTCCGACTATTTGTTGACTATTATTGATCATTCCCCCTGGAGAGGGACACGCCCGACTGGAGGCAACACCTTGGGGACTCGGCGCGGGCCCCTGGATGATGGGCCTATGTTTCACCGCCACCACCATCAGTTGGAGGGGGGAAGGAGGAGGAGGACGAGGAGGAGGACGAAGAGGAGGAGGAGCAGGAGGAGGAGGAGGAGCAGCAGGAGGAGGAGGAGGAAGAGGAGGGAGGAGGGAGGGAGGAGGAGGAGGAGGAGGAGGAGGAGGAGGAAGAGGAGGAGGAGGAGGAGGGAGGAGGAGGAGGAGCAGGAGGAGGAGGAGGAGGAGGAGGAGGAGGAGGACCCCCTCCCCTTCCAACTGGACGGTGGTGGCGGTGGTGGCAAACATTGGGGGGCGGAAAGATACGGATACGTGTTGTCCCCGGACCTCTCCTGGGGTGCGTTCTGACTAGAATTTCGAGGCGAATCCAGCGGTGACAACGAGGATTCCCCCGGAGGACCAGGAAAGGCCGAAAACGACGGGGGACAACACGTATCCGTATCTTTTTCTCCCCCGATGGCGGTGGTGGCAAACGAGCCCATCACTGGAAGCACCGCGCGCCGGGCGGCCCGACCTCACGCGGCGAGCCGCAGCGCGAGCGCCTCGCGCGCGCGCGCGGCGCCCTCGCCGGGCCGCGGGAGGCCCCCGCCCGGGAGATCCGACGCCATCCAACAACCACTCTCCTCGATCCTTGATCCCAAGCGCTAGGAGGAGGAGGAGGAGGAGGAGGAGGAAGAGGAGGAGGAGGAGGACGAGGAGGAGGAAGACAGATTCGATCGGAGCGGCCAGTCTTGGGCCATCCTGGGTCCCCAGGGGCCCTCGCCGGGCCTCGGGAGCGTCGAGAAACGACTCGGGGCGGAAAACCTGCCCCAGGGACGCGCCCGGAGATCGGACGTCGTGATTTTCTCAATGCGTGGTCCCCATTCCCCAGGACCGGTTTTTCATCCTGAAAAGTTTTTTGATTGCCCCGAGGCCCAGCAAGGGCCCCCGGAAGCCGAAAATGGCGAAAAACCTCCCGTGAATGGCGAAAATGGCAATGGCGAAAATAGCGATGCCGATTTTGTCACAGCGCGACGGGACCTGGGCCCAGGGAAGTGGTCTGGACCTCTTGGTCCACGCAGCGGACAAGCTGGAGCGACCGGAGAGTCGACGCGGGATCCAGCCGCGCTGCGGGGTCGCAGGTCTCTGCCCCAGCTTCTGCATGCCCCGGGGCCTGGGGGGGGAATCGCGGCACAGGTCGGATCGGACCGTGCCGAGGAGGAGGAGGAGAGGAGAGGAGGAGGAGGATGAGGATGAGAAGGAGGAGGAGGAGGAGGAGGAGAAGGAGGAGGAGGATGAGGAGGATGAGGAGGAGGAGGAGGAGGAGGGGGGAGGAGGGGGGAGGAGGAGGAGGGGGGAGAAGGGATCGGAATCGAAGCTTGGACCTCAAGCTCGAGATCGGAGCGGACCGTGAGCAGTCCCGCGAGGCCGCCCCGAGGGCACCTCGCCGGGGGATCCCTGGGAGACCTCCTGCGTCGGCCTCTCCTCCCGAGGGCCCCGCCAGACGCCCGCGAACCTCGATCCTCGCACGCCCCTCCCCTTCCCACTCCCTCGTCCTGGGCCCACCTCTATCCTTCCATGCCCCTCCCCCCTCCTCTTCTTCGCATTACGGCGACTCGCTTTTTTTTTGTCGTTTTATGAATCATATCAGTATTGATGATATGATGCTTCTTCTTTCGATCGATATTCTTAGTATTATTAAACTTGCTGATATTAGGTCTATTATGTCTCTTCCAGATGCTCCTTCTCTCGAGCAATACTAAGTGGCATGAACATAGACTTTTGAAACTCTGCCGGCGCGGATTTCTGAGATCGGCGCGGGACTCCGCGCCAAGGAGCCCGGCGAGGATGCGATACATCCGCACTGAACTCTGAGTCTCTTCCTCCTGTCCCTCCTCCTCTTCCTCCGCCTCCCCCTCCTCCCCTTCTCTTCCTCGTCATCCTCCTCCTCCTCCGCCTCCTCCGCCTCCTCCTCAGCCTCCGCCTCCTCACCCGCCCCTGTCTTCCTCATTCCCCTCCCCTGGCTCCCCGTGGCCATCCTGGCTCGAAAGGCCGCTTGGGCTCGAGCCGGACCGCCCGGCCAGCCATATCGCGCGCACGGAACGCGGCGGGCAGGGCAGCGATCGGCCGGGGTCGCGGCGCGAAGCTTGGGTTCGCGGCGGCCCCCGCGGGGCAGCCCTGGGAGAAACCATCCTGCGCATCGCCCGACGAACTCCTCGATCATCCTCGATCCTCGATCCTCGAACCTCCTCGATACTCGCCCCGCTGGGAAACGTCTCTTGTAATTCTGGATTCGGACATTCGGCTGGAGGGTGGGGGTCTGGTGCTGGGCTGGTGTTGTAATTATGCTAGTACCAATCGTTCGAGCAAGCTGGGGCGGGGCCCTGACCAGTAGCCAAACGCAGCCAAAATCTGATTGATGGGGAAGGGGGCAATGGCCCGCGCCGATCGGCGAAACAATACATATAAAAATCAGCCTGGCGAAGGATCCAACCATATGCAATTGTGGGTATCGCATTCGGGGGGGCCCCGTCTGGGGCCACGAAGCGCTGTACTGGGTGGGGGAGACGCAGGCGAACTGCGCCACTGGGACTTTCGGTGGAGCTCCATATGGGGCCACGAAACGCTATACTGGGTGGGGGGGACGCGTGCGAACTGCGCCACTGGGACCTTCGGTGGAGCTACCTATGGGGCCACGAAGCGCTGTACTGGGCGGGGGGGACGCATGCGAACTGCGCCACTGGGACCTTCGGTGGAGCTCCCTATGGGGCCACGAACCGCAGCCCTGGGTGGGGGGTGGGGGACGCATGCGAACTGCGCCAGTGGGCCTTCGGTGGAGTTCCTTATGGGGCCACGAACCGCAGCCCTGGGTGGGGGAACCGCATGCGGGCTGTGCCACTGGGACCTTCGGTGGAGCTCCCTATGGGGCTGCGAAACGCTGCCCTGGGTGGGGGAACCGCGTGCGGGCTGTGCCACTGGGACCTTCGGTGGAGCTCCCTATGGGGCTGCGAAACGCTGCACCGCCTGCGGGCTGTGCCACTGGGACATTGAGTGGAGCTCCCTGTGGGGGTACGAAACGCTGCCCTGGGCGGGGGAACCGCATGCGGGCTGTGCCACTGAGGAATTTGGTGGAGCTCCCTCTGGGGCCACAAAACGCTGCCCTTGGTAGGGGAACCGCATGCGGGCTGTGCCACTGGGACCTTCGGTGGAAATCCCTATGGGGCTACGAAGCGCTGCCCTGGGCACGGGTACCGCATGCGGGCTGTGCCACTGGGACTTTCGGTGGAGCTCCCTATAGGGGTACGAAACGCTGCCCTGGGTGGGGGACACGCATGCGGGCTGTGCCACTGGGACCTTCGGTGGAGCTCCCTATAGGGGTACGAAACGCTGCCCTGGGTGGGGGAACCGCATGCGGGCTGTGCCACTGAGACCGTCGGTGGAATTCCGTATGGGGCCACGAAGCGCTGCCCTGGGTGGGGGAACCGCATGCGGGCTGTGCCACTGGGACTTTCGGTGGAACTTCGTATGGGGCCACGAAGCGCTGCCCTGGGTGGGGGAGCCGCATGCGGGCTGTGCCACTGGGACCTTCGGTGGAGCTCACTATGGGGCTTCGAAACGTATGAGGGGTGTGCCGAGACCAGAGGCAAGGAGGGGGAGGAGGGAGGAGGGAGGGGACAGCGGGAGGAAAACGAGACGGTGGGCACCGTCTCTTCAAAACGAAGACCCAACACCACAGGATGGTTGGGAAAAACAACTGCCTGGCAAAGCCGTGGCGCCAGTTGCGACATTTTCCCCGACGTGGGTATACATACATACACACATACATACATACATTCATACATACACACATACATACATGCATACATACATACATACATACAAACATACATACACGGATGCATGCATGCATGCATGCATGCATACATACATATACACATACACACATACATACATACATACATACATACATACGTATATACATACGTATAAACCTATACATATGCACATACATATAACTATACATATACATATACATAGACATGTACCTATACGTATACATATACACATACACAAACACACGCATATATATATACATATATATATATATATATGTAGGTTGACTATTTCGGGTTTCGCCGGCCGTGTTTCCACTTGGGCGGGTGACCTGGTGGGGTCGACATACCATACCCCAGCAATGGGGATTGAGATCGGTTCGACGGCGGTGTTCGCAGCAGCCCTGGTTGCAGCCCTGGGAATCAGCTTATGGGAATTCTTCACACGAACGGTTAAGGGGTATGAATCCCGATTCGAAGGCCACTGGGTCGGCCTAGCCTGCAATAGGCCCAAGATTCGGCCCGACTGGGCGGGCCCAAGCGGGATCGACCGGGACTATGCCACATCAGGCTTGATTTCGATGACGGGTATACCAACGCCGATGCTAAACTCGATCTCCCAGGACTTGCACCCAAAACAGCCCTGGGAGGAGCCGGCCGACGAACACCAGCGGCTGCGGCAACAGCGCAGGATGCAACGAAATGGCCCCGCGCGGGCTCGGGGGATCCGGCCGCGAACGGTCGCCGGGGTGGTCCTCGAGGCCTCGGCGGGGGCAAACGTCGCAGGACCTGCACCGCCCGTCGTCAATGGCGGCGGCACCGAAGGTTTCAAGAATCGATCGGGGGGCTCCCACTTGAGGTCCATGTCGAGGGGGTTGGAGGATCGCGCCGCATCGCTGACGCATCGACGATGCATCGGCGTCGTGGGCGGTGCATCGGCGACGCCCGTGCTCCAGACCAGGAAAAAAACGAAACTCGATAGACTGGACTTAAGTGTACTTTTGAAAGTGCAAGGCTGGCTATAGTCAACGTGTATAATGTCAGCTTGCGATTGACAA